GAGTCAGTCTTACCATTAGTAGGCCTCATTCACAAAACTGGTCTATAAGGGGTATTTAAGGAAATTGCCTATAAAATGACGATTGAATGGGTATCCACTCTTACCCACCGCACTCTTGACTAGTGGAGGGTCGTTAGCCGAATGGGTAGGATAGGACACAACCTTCCATTATAAGTATAATGAAATACGAAGTAAGTAAACACTTTTATAAATTACCAAATCTTAGTTACTTTAGGAAAAATGTGGAATTGGTGCTAATCCATGAAATTGCACATTGCACCTTTATTGGTCGTTAATGGAGCATGTGTGGTTAACAGACACACTAATATGGAACTAATGAAGGGTGGCAATGGATAACTTGATGTTTATCATAGATCAATGGAGCATGTGTGGTTAACTGGCACATTGATTAGGTGATTTGTAACATTGAGAGTACCAAACTAATTTGCATGGTTATCCACAACTTGTTTGTGATCCTCGACATCCCAGTCACAAATGAAGGGGCACAATCGAGATTTAAACATGCTATTGAAAAGTTCAATGAATCTCATAAGATCTAGGAGTTTCAATTCATCTAAAACTTAAATTTCCTTTTCGTTTTTTCATGGTGGAAATTGGTAAATCATCATTTACCTACCTTCAAATGTTCTGCAATTTAGATTACGACATCCCTCTTCCAAATTGTAGAATATTGTGTTGGGTCCTATCTTATTTGGGTGTTTTATTAAGGACTCAATCAACTAACTTGAATTTTCTCCCGTCTTGTAGATGTCAATGTCTAACAACTATGGTCATCCTGAATCAGTTAGAAAAAGATTTTCGCTTGATGAAGATTTTCCACGATTGGATTGTGGAAATGGAAATCATTCTTCACTTCCTCCACCTCCTACAATAATTCTCCCTGAGCCACGTGTTCGAAGACTTGAAAAGTTCAAGGTCACTCAATCCCTATTGGCATAAAGACACGAAGATAGAAAGTCGGTATGTGCTCATGTCTTGGATATGAAGTTGCATGTTGACTTGGTTCTTCACTCACTTCCCGAATCATATGGTAAGTTCGTTAGAGAGTACTATATGATGGAACACGACGTAACACTCATTGATTTGACTTTTTTACTTATTGCTGCTGAATCAGAAATGATTTGGCGCACTGGTCGAGCAAATTTGTCTGGTAAATCAATATCCCAACCTTCTATGGAAATGGCAACATTGGAAGTCTAGAAAAGTTCTCTCTATGCAAGAGAAAGGATGAGTCTGAGATAGTCCCATGTATCATTCCAGAAGAATCCATATGTTTCTACTGCCAAAAGAGGGAGCATTGGTTACAAAGTTTCCCTAACCACCTGAGAGATCTAAGAAATGGGAGAGTCAAGAAGTATGAGTCTGCTTCAGGTAAAATCCACTATCTAACTCTATTAAGTTCCTTTTTGACATTCTTAATACATGATGTGATAATATTGCATTTTAATGTGTTGTAGGGTCGAAAAAAGAAAGGAAGCTTAAAGGAAGAAGTGAGCTGAGTCTGATCGTGAAGAAATGGATTTCGATCGCATGATTTGATGATCGGATTTTTTTAACTGCTGCTTAGAGTTATGATAGATTGCTTAGGAAGATGTAATAGCATGTTTTCATTTGAATTGCATTGTAAGGACAAGTTTTACGCGTTTTGATAAATAAAATAAATTTTGATTTTGGCTTATTTATATATTTCCTTTCAATGACATGTATGAAAATTGATGTTTGTGTATTTCTATTTTTAGCAATGTTGAAATGGACATGATTCTTAGTTATGTTATTTGTGGTAATGTCGAGAATTTACCAAATAAGGAAAGATTCTTGTCGCCCGAGTTTCAATTGGACAAAAACTTAGAATCATACAACTTGTATTATATGATGAATGAGAACCTTTATATTTGGAAAAATAAGACCATTCCTTGACAAAGAGTCAAGTGAAAGACTAGGAGAGCTGGTATACAAGTATTGTGCACCGGTCAAGTTCACCACAAAAAATGATAAGATTATTCGTCATGATTTACTAAAGGTCTAGTGAATGTGGTTATGCTTACAAGATTAAGTATAATTCTGAATCATTGAAAAGTTTCAATGAATGTCAGAACGAGTAAGAATAATCAAATAGGCAGAAAGATAAAAGTTTCTCTAATATGAAAAGATGGGAGAGTACTTTAGTATCATGTTTTATGATCGTCTTATTGATTATGAAACCATATCACAACTGATCCTCTAAAGGAGACCTTAGTACACTAGTATGGCTAAGAAGAGGAATCATAAAATGTTGAAATGATTAAATCAAAAGGATAAATCATACTTCGTTCCAAAATCAAGTCTTAGATTCATACTCCAAGATTGTGACTTGAGTGACACATCTTAAGAAGTCTTTAACACACTCACCAAACACTACTAGAAAAACAGCCTTTTACGACGCTCATTGCGTGTCATAAAGGACTCAGACGACGCGCAAATGCGCGTCAAGGAAGGCCCTGTCATAAAGAGAAACGACGCGCTTTTGCGTGTCGTCTGTAGACATCGTGCATTTACGACGCTCATTTACGACATGCAATTATGACGCGCGTTTACAACACACAATGGGTATCAAGAAAGGCCCTGTCATAAAGGAAGACGACACGCATTCGCATGTCGTAACCTTACGACACGCGTGTTAATGACACGCAATGCATATCAAGAAATCCCCTGTCAAGAAAGGCCATGTCATAAATGAAGATGACACACATTTTTGCGTATCATAATTTTAAATGTTTAAAAAAAATTATTTTTAGATTTACTAATTTTCAAATTAAATTTCCATTTCATGTCTCCTAATAGAAAATAAAATACCATATACAAGAAATATAATACATAGCACAAAAGTTAATGTCATACAAATAATCATTCTAATAGTAGACAAATGGATAAATCTCAAAGGGATCAAAAATATGTTTGTCTTCTAATAGAACTTATACACAAGAAAGTACTGAATTTGCTATTGATCTTATACACAAGAAGGTGTTTGAATTTAGAAAATGTCTCAACAACTGAATTGGCCCTGAAAGCTTGTGGTTTGAGTGCAACTGAGATAAGGATACCATGTTTACTCTTCTTAAGCTTACTAAACAAACTTGACAATAAGATAATATAAAACTGAATTAAGATTAAGCCACAGATGCACTCAAGCTATACCTACCAATGGCGATGGTCCTTCATTAGCTGCACGTGGAAACCCACTACCATAAACAGAAGTATAAAAAAATTGCTTTATTCAAAAAACTCATATTACTATTGTAATCATAATAAAACACACCGATTATGTATAGTTTTATACAAGAAGTGTTCCAGATCATTATTTTAGTAATAATGAATAAGAGAGGATACATTACTTACTTTATACTAGAATAACTCAGCGAGATCTTTTCTTAAGTTGTGATACAGTTCAGCCAATGAAGGTTCCATAATTACACCAAGGTCGGATGAATCTATGATGAAATATTACCTAATTAATTTTCCATCAAGACAGATTGACTCTTTGTGATATAAAAAATCACTGATAAATTTAGAAACAAGTATTCAACAGTTATTAGTCCAAATATTTAAGATGTGTTTACTTTCGTGTAAACTAATTATTTCTTTTATCAGTGCTTGAATTGCCAAGAAATTCCAGAATTGGTCATGTAATTGTGTCAGTTAAGTATCTATCTATACCTTTGACAAACTTTATAACAAACATAAAGTTGCAAAATAGAGATGGAATTGGAACCAGAAATACTCACATTGTTGCACTTGTAGTCCTTTTCTCTTTCAAAAGGGCAGCTCTCTTCTACTCTCTCATCTACATCATTCAAACCAAACAATCAATGGGGGCAAATATGTAAAAAGTCGGGAATTAAAGGGTAAAGCCTAATTCCCCATACTTTCTTTATTAAGTCATTCTTTATGATTCAATTCAAAAAGGAACATTAATATATGGCAAGTTCCAGTAAGATAATCAAATTACCATTTTGTTACGGTGTAATCGAGCAACCCAAGCTCCCTTCGTGGCATTGCGATCAGGTTTGTTGATCTTGCATCATCTATTCTACATTAGTTCTCCCTCAACTCAACTCGTTCTCTCTTATTTTCGGATACATGTAACACCCGTCTGACACTAAAACCTTGACCAACTGTAATTTATATCTGGTTCTCTCTAATCTTTCTGATACATAAGAAATGATATTTTCAAAAACCTTTTAACTGTTGACATATATATTACCACATAAGCTCCAATTTTTATGAATAGTTGTATAAAAAACTTATCATACCTGAAGTTATGAATCTCGAGGCAGAACTTGGTCTTCCTAATTCAGACTGCTATCAACAAAGTACAAACATAACAAAAGTTGATTACAACCTAGATAGAATTAATATCTAGTTATTTTCAGAAAATAATATTGTATATCAATAAAAAAAAGTTCAAAAATATAAAAAAACTAATGGAATAAAAGAATCACCCCCAACTTAAATGTTTATATAAAAAAACTATATACCATAAAATCTTAACATAACATAATTAAATAATTGTTTTGACAACTTAAAAAAACTTATATACTGTTGTGAACCACTTTCAGTTGGTACAGGTACAAAGACCTTAGGTGGAGGAGGCTCACTTGCTTCATCATGATCATGAAACAGGTTGAGAAATGGATCATGTAAAGTAGTTTGTTGCACTGGTTGTGAAATGGATATAATGCCATCACCCGATTACAGGTTTACCCAGGAGGTACTGGAATTTTTGGATTTTAGTGAATTATCATCAATAGAAAAGGGATTGTTGTTTGCATCAGATGAGGGCAAAGGGTTGGTAATGGTAACGGTATGAGTATCTTGTTTGATTTTATTGATATGTTCCCATAACCTCATATCAGAAGCAAAAAGGTCTCTTCATGGAAGAGAAATTACAAGTATCTCTACCTGTTATTACATACATAACCGAACCAAAATAGCAATCAACTTCACAGAATGAAAAACCTCGGAACAAATAAAGTGAGATGATGAGAAGTAAAGTTGTCAATGTACGGTACCTCACCAAGTGTGATAGGGGTTCTGGCTGACACAGCAGGATAGAATGTGAGTACAACCACACAAGTTAGAAAATCCAATTTGCCCTCCAGTTTTTTAAAATCATATAAAAATGGAAGCTTGGTTGTATCTTGGTCATGTACACGTGCACCTGCTCCTGTCACAACCATATCCTCATCACTCACAGCTCCTGGTATGGGTATCACAATGCTTGTCCCATTAGCACACTCAGGAATAGAGGCTCCCTGCACACAACCACAACCTTTGTTATACAACTACTACTTTAGGAATTAGCCCAATTTGGGAGAGATGAGCCAAACCGACCTCCACAACAAGTTTAAGCCCATCTAGATCACATCCAATTCTCACATCAACTCTTGATGGATATGTTGAACTATCTGCACAAGAAGCTGACAAACATGACAAGGCTCTCCAAGATGGATAAAGACTTCCATTACATCTGCTGCCTATGGACAAACCTGTACACCACAAAAAAAAGTAAGATTGTATTATACTATATATATATATATATATATATATATATATATATATATATATATATAGCATTAGGAAGTACGACATGTTATGGTATGGTTACCCATATAAGGTCTTTCTGCTTAAAGTTGAGAAGCCTACCTCTGTCATCAGAACTCGGCAAAATGTTTGATATAGTCCAACAAGATTCTTTCTTAATACTTTTTTTCTGTGGTTATTGGTCAACAAGTTGAGAAGACAAGTCAAAGCTATGACTTCAGTTTTACCTATCTTCACTCTTGCTGAACCATTTTCCTGTCATTAATTAAGCTCATTAAGAGCATAAGCTAAGTGTTTTTATTAAATAAAAAAGAATTTGAAAATGTTTTTACCTGAGCAATGACTCCAGTTTCAATAGATATGTGGCAATAACTTAATCTTTTACACCCATCTGTACAAAGGTCTTGAGCAATTCCTCCATATATAAAATTCTTTTCTCCAATAATTCATATTTAAATATCGTTTAGGAATATAACTAACTTTAGACAAATAAGGCTTGGGAACAAATGTTTTTAAGAACAATTTGAAGAAAAGATACTAACCTTTTAAGGAAATTGTTGATCAGTGAACAAATATGGAGCTTAATAGACAGCTTGAAGAGTACCCTGGTGCTGATTCTGGCTACAATATAAACAATAATAATATTATTAGATGTTTCTTTTAATGTCAAAATAGATACAAGACCAACTCTCAGGATAGGAACAACCAGGAAACAAAGAAGGGCTTCTTAGTTAACTAAAATTCACAATTAAAGACGACTTTTACCATTATAGTAAACCCAAAATAAGTCTTTTTTCCCAAAAGAGTAAACCCAAAATAAATCTTTATTCTAAACCAAAATCTATACATATAACTTTCTATCAACATAGGTTTCATCCAAATCAAAATCAAGGCATTAGGACATTAAATATATAAATTATACTTGACTATTAAGAGAAAAAAGATAGAAAACCTGGTGATTTGGAAAGTAGATTGAACCTTTCTTGACGGTGGGCCCCGCACCCGGGACCCATGAAGATATCAGGAAGCTTAGCACCCCTTTGTTCAGCATGCCATAGTTTTCACTTCGAAGACCATTCCAATCAACAAATAATAAGAAAAAAAGTCAAATACCCAAAAAACATATGGTAAATGCGAAGCTCAAAAGTTCAACAATCCACTTAATGATTATGCAATATAGACCCTTTTCACAGTAGTAGCTATACCGCCTCTTAAAGAAGAGATCAAAATCAGCAATTGATTTGAGTTTCAAGCTTTCACCATTAAGAATCCCAGAAGGGCTTTCAGAACTTGGACTTGGTGCTTTCTTACAATGAAGACTCCCCATATGCCTGGTGAAAGTTCAACATATAGAGAAAAAGATAAGTGAATTGCATGGGTTCATAAGCATCTGATCTGAAAAAACACAAAAGAAAGAAATGTTGATCAAATAACCTTAAATATGTTCTTGATGGTATACAGGGATCTGCTAGAGGAAGGGCCTGAAAGTTCATGTTAAACATATCATCACGTGGTGGGGAATGACCTGAAGAATCCAATGAGTGATTAATAATCTTGTTAGTTGTTAGACACAAAAGCTAGTTATCATCCCCATTTCTGACAGGTCATTAGGTTAAAAGAAGGTCCCTAACTAAATTTGTCTAGTATTGTTTAAAGACTCAATGTCTGTGTCCATTTTACATGTTAGCCCGCCCAAATAATCTTAATAATCATGTTAGACACAAAAAATAGTCATCATCCCAGAGTATGATGGATCATTTGTATTAAAGTTTTATCATTTGGTTTATAGAAGAAGTTCCCTTGCTATATTAGTCAAGTATTCGGTTCTTAGATTTGTCACCCGAAACAACAATTCGTGTTTGATTTGGAGAAGATGGAGATCGTTTCAGGTAGTACAGGACCGAGCGGTGGGCAACCGGGCCACAACGCAGAGCGCACGTCTCTAGGTCCCAAAACATACCTTTGGCGAATTAGATCTAATTGATGGACCATGGGAAGGCAAGAAGTTGGAGATGTGGAGAACAACGGTCGGCTGAGCAAGTCGACAATTGTTGTTGAGAACTGTCGAGATAAAGATAAGGTCGACCATGTAAACAAAAACATACCTTAATCGTACTTAGGGCTTGTAAAGTTGAGCAGTCGTTGTAGTCTCCGGTGACGTGAGGTGAGCCCAAGGTCGTTGGTGGAAACAGATGAGCCGAGGTCGCCGGTGGAAAGAGATGACCTGAGGTCGCTGATAGGAGGTGAGATGAGGGAGCGAACATTACAGAGAGAACTCCTTGAAAAAACCCTAGATAATGGTCCCTTCAATGGAGAGGTCTTTAAATTTTCTATTTTTTTGAATTCGAGGTTTTAGATTTGGTCGACGCCAATAATGAGGAGACCTCGCGGATCAATTACGATTCACCTTTGCTTTATCTTCTTGTTCTCCTCTTAATGATTTCAGACTCCGTCTCTACGACTTTACATGATATTTTTCATAAAGGAGTCTTTGTGGAGCATTGGGGTTTTTCTTTATTTCATAACCCTCACATGTACTGGGTTGAGAGAAAACGAGAGAAGCGGAAGCTTGGAAGAAAATAAAACCCTAGCACATGCTAGAGAGAAGGAAGGTGGCGATGGCTTAGGGTTTATAGAGAGACACGAGAGGTAGAGAATGAAAGGAGATCTAGAGGAGAGAGTATCAGAGAGGGGATAGTGGATTGCAAGGATGAAAGATAGATACAAGATAGAAAAAACAAGGCGGGTTTTCAAAATTTTGGAGATTCCATTTCCCCACTTGTCTACTAAAAGCGCGTTTCATTAAAATTATAAAGCGACAGGTACAGACGACGCGCGTTTAAAATAAAGCGCCCTCCGTGTTTTTAATTTTTTTTCTTGAGACACTAAATTAAGGGCACGCAATAATACGTGACGTAAATCCTTAAATTTTTTGGAGAGATAACACTATTTTAAAGGCACGCCCTTTTGCGTATCATTAATCAGTGCATGTCGTAAAAAGCGCGTCATTAAAGGTCTATTTTCTAGTTGTGAAATGTGTAGTAAAAAAAATGTTTTCTTACTCTTACACATTTGAAATTGGTAAATTGTGATGTCTTGGATAAGATAAAGACCAACTAAGACTAATTGTGTGTAGTGTTTGTCTTGATAAGAATCCGCACTAACTCTTGAATATTTGTTTGTCAAGAAATGTTTATTGACAAAGGAATCTTATATGTTAAGAGGTCAGTGGGAGTCTAAATAATCTTGAAAAGTTTCAAGAACTAATCAAGAGTAAACCTATTATTCGACACTAGGACACGACTTGAGGTTTGTAACCTATCGTGTTGACATATTTTTGTTTCTGTGCCATTCTGGTTTGGTCAACTATGTATGTGAGTTCTATGAGTTCTCAATTGATTGCATAGAGGCAAGACACCCTGATCAATGGAAAGTACATTGATAGGTAGGGTTGAACTGCTAAATAACTTGGAAGCAATGGTGGGACCCTTGATGGCAAGAAATTAAGAATGAACAAGTTCTGTCCATAAGAGTTTGGATTTGTCACAAACATTGTCTTGTAATTATGGTTATGACAAATTCACAAGAATAAGAGCACACACACCATAAAATCTAAGTGTCATAAGATTTCTCTCCATTTTATGAAAATGATTGTGAGGAAAAGCTTTCACTAAGAGAGATTTTAAGGAGATAGTAATTGTCTAAATTGCATTCTCAAGTTCGATTATGATTACGACATCCCTCTTTATAGATAGTATGAATTATGAGATTTGGCGATTAGTCTGAACATTTGAGACTTAGTAATATAAGTTCTGAATTAGTTTAGACACATATATGAGCTATCTAAGGAAAGGTGTATGAGTTTGAGAAGATTAGATAAAGGCTTATTGAAGCATATCGTATTAGAAGTATGAACTTTAAAATTCAATAAGTATTACTTTCTAGAAGTCCAACTATTTTCTGAATACGTGTCAAAGCTAATGGAAGCATAAATGTTATGCTGGTATGAATATAATCAACATGCTAGTGGGAGCCTGATTATTATTTTAAAGTATTGCAAATTAGCAATATTAATTATAGAAAACAAAAGTTTCACTTTGCAAAGTTGCAGGGGTTGAAAAGTTGTTTTGCTATAATTAAGGGAGAGAATATTGTACTTCGTTTCAAAATCTAAAAGCTTAGATCGAGAAATTTTAATCAAATTTAGTCAAGTATATATATTATTTGCGTTCTCAAAATTCTATTATGATTACGACATCCCTCTTCATAGTTCGAATTGTGAGAACATGGCAAATAGAAATATTATAGCAAGAAACTGGTAAAGTATCATGTTTTTTTTTGTTATGAATCGTGTCCTATACGCTTTGTGTATAGGATCGATTGCATTTGCTGTAATATTTGACCATTCTAAAATTTTCCAAATGCCTAGGGCATTAAGAGGGAAAAGGACTAGAACCAGATTTGATTAAAATAATTAAACAACTATCAAGGACAATCTAAGGTTCGCCAAGGATTGGTCGCTTGTGGATAGCTGGAAGTATAATAATGGATGGACCATATTGACATTATTATGAATAGATAAGACTCTATTTAGAATGAGTTGTCAGTTGGAAAATATGGAAATGTTTCCATATTAGGAGTTAATGTTAAGAATTTATGTCTAGATTAGAAACTTTTATGCAAGAAGGATGTTCAAAGGAATGTACTTTGAATGTGAGGCTTCACATCTATGGAATTATCTTGTAACAATCCCAATAGAGCACTTTGTAATTTCATTGGCAAAGTATTGGTGACTTTTGTGCAATAAGATTACAAAAGGATCGTTGCATAAAATGTTAGAATCTAACATATTCTAATAGTGGGAAGAATTTGGTATTCTTACACTAGTGATAAGGATTAGGGATTGTGAAATGAGCATCATTGGAAATGTTTTCAATTGATCTATTTCACAAAGTAAGGATCATAGGTAAACATAGTGTGCATGTTTGGAGCATGGGACAACTGTTGTTATAATTCAAGTAGTAAGTTGATTACTCGAAACAACAAATAATGAGTCATCAATATGGTGATTAAATAAAGGTGTCTTATTTATACTCAAAAGTTTGGAGCCATATAGGATTAGTACTATTCTTGTGTTTCTATTTGCATTTTTTGACTTCCCGAATAATAAGATTATTCAAACCCTCCACAGTCGCTCAAGCTTTGGAAGTAGGTATTAAAGAAGACTGTCATGAATCTGACTGTAGATTGTCTAAAGCATTTTAGACATAGCAAAAGTTTGCTGCAGGGTTCATGAGTGCTGCTATAAGATTAGAGTATTGGATTAAACCTACGCTCACTTGGATTGCTTCATGGATTTTATCACGAGTGATTGGTGAGACGATAATATCTTATATTCTTGAAACCGAAATACGTGAGTTGTATTCTGCAAGTCGGTTGCACATTGATAATATGTAAATGTACCAGTAACTTGGTGTTATAAAACATATTGTTGTGTGTGATTTGATGAGTAGATACAAGTGAGCATTTGAGTCAAAGTTTATCCGTTCCTTTTACCCAAAGTGGGATAAAAGCGATATTTGTGGGCCCCTCGATGATTTAGTGATGACACCCTAAGTGCTTGGCCAAGTCGGGACTAAGTTGATGTGTTCAGTTGTAGTCTATTGTCAGTCGTCATAAATCGAAAGTCGGGAAACAACATATAGACAGAGAGAATGATTAAAATCCATGTCTCAGTCTATTCGATATCTAGAATGAGGGAATATATGATCCCTTATTTAAAGGATGCGTTACTGATAAGATCAGAGTTGACAGCGGCTTTTGAAAGCTATGATTGTTGATCAGGTTCTGTAGTCATATGCAAAATAGTTTTTAGACTTATCCAAGTGGGAGACTGTTGGATTAGGTGTCTAAGCCCATAACTATTTTGGTATGTACTTGACCCGAATACAAGCATGGTCCTTTTAGGTTGCCTTCACCATAGCAACTGATAGGATGAAGTAAGGAGAAAGAGGTTTAATTATGATTTATTAATATATTATGTGAATAATATATTAAAGGAGAAATTATATTGTTTAATTAATATTAGTCAAGAATTAATTAAGAATTAATTTTGTGGCTAAAAGAGATTAATTAAACTTGGGGGACTAATATTGTAATTATAAGATAATTGCATTGTGGGCTATGGATTCCTAATGGAAAAGGGATTTCGTCCAAGGGCTTTCTAAAGGGACTCCATGGGTTGCTTATAGCCTAAGAAGAGAATTAGGGTTTCACCTGAAACCCTGGCAACTCTCACAAGTATATAAAGACCCATAAGGCTCCCAAAAACGTGGCTAACACTTCTAAGAGAACCCTGGACGTTTTTGGTGCCTCCTCCCTCTATCCTTGTTCATGTTGTTGCTCATGGTGTTTGTGAATCCATTAGAGGTGCAACATTTGAGGCACTAAGCTTTCAAGAGTCTAGATCAAGAGGATTTGTGATTGTTATTGCTACATAAAAATCAAGGTAAGATCTAAACCCTAATTCATATGTTAATTCGATTATTGTATGCTAGATCTAGGGTTTATGATCTTTGGATGATTATTGCATGTTCATTAGACAAACTAGATCCAAAGCTTTAGAGTTTTCATGTATACCATAGGATTGATGTTTTGCCTAAAACCCATCAAATACAACTCTAACAAGGGTGTTTAAGCACAATAACTTTTATATGGATGAATAAAGGTGAAACCTTTGTACTCTCTAGACCTCAAAAGGTCCAGATCTGAAGTCTAGACCTCCTAATAGACTCCATGCACTCATTGTCCCATCAAAAAGTGGTAAAAGCCCTAACTTCCATACTCACGAGATCCAACTAATAAGATGAGCAAGGTGTAAGCTTTTTACCTTCCACAAAAGCTCTAAGTGAAAGAATGCTAGATCCCACAGCCTCTCCTTGTTCCTTGCTTGTATCCTACTCCTTTCCTTCCAAAAGATCCACCAAAACACTCATTATTAGCCAAGATTGTAGAACTCGTTACTCGGTACGTTGTTGGCCGACTACCGAGTAGCAAGTACTCGGGAGTAAATGAGAGTACTCAGATTCAGTAATTCATGTAGAAATATTTTCAGGGACATTATATATATATATATATATATATATATATATATATATATATATATATATATATATCAAAATCATAAGTTGATAAAAAATATATAACAAAATTAGATAATGTGAATAGACAAAAACTGAAAAACACATAATGGTCTCACTTCATGAATAATTACTGAAAATTTAAGATATATATATATATATATATATATATATATATATATATATATATGTAGTAATACTCACATGTGAGTATGTTAAATAATAAATCATTAATTATATTATCCATGTTAATCACCGAGTTGACTCAGTTTTATAACACTGCTCAGTTCATTAAGGCGTCGATCGGGGAGTACTCGGGATTTTGCAACTCGATCACCTTGGTAAGGGGTCGAGTAGTGAGTACTCGGAGGAGTAATCGGCTAACCCGGCGAGTTTTACAACACTGATAGTAGCTCATACACTCTCTCTTAGCTTAATGGTTGATTTGGGTTTCACACAGGGGAATTAGGCAGCTGGTGAGTCGGAAATGAGGACATAAGTTTCCTTAAATAGGCCCCAAACCCAGGGATTTAGGGTTTCATTTTGCAGTGCCTAATCGACGAGTCGACTCTCTGACTCGTCGAGTTGGTTTTTAGACCCACATGGTCAATCAGTCTCTACTCGATGAGTTGAGGCACCAACTCGTCGAGTTGCTCAATAGCGCTCAAAAATAAGTAAATAAAAGGATAATATACCCGGGAGCCCGGATGTTACAATTCTTCCCCACTAGAATGAGACTTCACCCTCGAAGTCATGCTCCGGAAATAACTATAGATACTGCTCTCGCATCTCAGACTTTGGCTCCCAAGTCAAGTTGGACCCCTTCCGATGTTGCCACTGGAACTAAACCAGGGGTACCTCTTTGTTCCTCAGAACCTTCACCTTCCGATCCAAGATCGCAATCGGCCTTTCAATATAATTTAGGCTCGCATCCACCTAAAAACCAAAAGGGTCAAATTCAATAGAAATCAGGTTATCTGTGGTAAGACGACGAACGGATAGTAGGTTTTTCATGAGTTTGGGTGCATGAAGAATATTGTTGAGTTTTAAAGGTGGATATGGTGATTTAAGGATTGTATGACCAATGGCATGGATTGGTATTTGGAAACCGTTACCAACAACTATATGGTTTTGTATACTAGTATTAACATAAGTTGAAATGTTAGTGTTGGACATGTGATTGGTGGCTCCTGAGTCAAGACAACATTGTCGGTACGAATTTAGAGTCATGGTATGCATTGCCTGTTCAATGTTGTTAGGCATGTTGTAACACCCAAAATCCAGAAGGTCAATTAAGGAAAGAAAAACCCTAAGTCAAAAGGTCTGCTCATCGAGTCCAAGAGGGTAAGTGGACGAGTATAAGCAAGATCAGGACGCAGATGGAAGGACCTACTCGACGAGCCTAGGAGACCAACTTGACAATTTGGTCAGGGTTAGGGAAACCCTAAATTTGGGCCTTGTACCCTATTTAAAGAACACTAAACCTCTCTCTCAACCCCTCACTTCCCTCTCAAGTCCAGAAGCAAAAACCTAGCCACCTAACTCCATTTCTTGAGCATTGTGAAGCTAAAGGTTAATTATGGTACATATCTTGGAAGATTGGAAGCAAGGAATGAGGAGGGGAGTGTAGATCCAACACCTACATCAGTTTGGCAGAATTTAGAAGGTAACAAGTCGTTACCTTGAGCATCCTATGGATTGATCTCTTCATCTTAAGATCTAAGCTAATTCTAGCACTTTTGTGGACAAGTTCTTGGGTGGAACATAATCTGAAGTTTGCAACTTTAGATCTGGACTCTCCAAAGCCTCTAATGTCATTAAGTCTCAAGCTTTTGAAGCTTGAATCACTTCTCCATAGCATAACCCTTCTTTTAGCTTAGTTTTTGGCATTGGGACTTGCATGCATGTAAAGTTTGCAACTTTACGTGGAAAGCATGCTCTAAGAGGTTAGATCTATCATTAGTTTGGCTTAGAATCGACTATATGAGAAATGGTCTGAAGATACTCGGCAAGTTGGATAGCCGAATCGACGAGTTGAAGAGGGTTTTCTCATTTCTGGAGTCTGCATGAACTCGATGAATTGATAGGGTAACTCGACGAGTGGACAGGGTTTCTCCCGACCATGGATATTGTATGTACTCGATAAGTTGCTTGGCAGCTCGACGAGCTTATCAGGGTTTTTGCATGGTTCCGAGTTCTAAGGAACACGACGATTCGATGGAGGGATCCGAAGAGTCGAAGTGAGTTATCCCGAATCTGTTTATGGTGGAGCTGGACAAGTCTGAAGAGTGACTCGACGAGATGACTCGTTCCACCACGACTATGAGCAGCGAAGGAACCCAGCGAGTCATGAGGATGACTCGACGAGTTGAGTCAACTCAGGGTGTTAACTTTGACTTTGACCAAGCATTGGACTTTGACTAGGGGTAAAATGGTCATTTACCCTAAGAAGGATTATCCGCTCTTGACTAAGTTTTATGATGGTAATGATAGCTCGGGGAGTCGAGGGATCAGCAGTTCGGGGATCTGCCAACTAGCAGCTAGGGGTTTATTCGTGGGTTTTTGCAGTCAGCGTATGAGGTGAGTTTTCTCCGGTAGGAACGGGTTGAAGGCACCAATACCGGCCTATTTATGTATGTTAGTGTATACCAGATTTAGATCCGATGCCGGGGTTAGCCCGATGTAGTTTATATGCTTCCGGATTACGGTCTGATAACTGGCGGGTCCCGATGAAGGTTTATATGTATGTTTCTAAACTACGGTTCGATGCCAAGTAGTACCCGAGGAAGGAATGCATGTTTAGCTATACTTGTTGTCTTTGTGATACTTGTATGTGCATGGTAGGGAGATGAGTGTGGGCGAGGGCCTGTATCTTAACACTAGCTGAGTATGGATAGGGTTCCATATCTCATTAATAACATAGTAGGGGCGGGGCTCAAGATAGGCAGGGCCTTGGACTAACAGTTATAGTGATATGTTTGCTTGTTTATGTACTAGCTTGATTATGATTATATGTTTTCATGTGTATAGCGGGCAGGGCCCAAAGACATACGTGGCCTAATAGAAACATATTTGTATACCGAGTGGGGCTCGATGCTAGGCGGGGCCTAATGCCAAGCGGGCCTGATATCGGATTCGTCCGATGTCGGGCGGGGTCCGATGTAGCGGGCTAGGCCCAATGTTTGCAGTATAGGATCATGTGTATGGTATGTGGTAGTTTGGGGGGACTTACTAAGCTTCATGCTTACATTTTTTAGTTTTGGTTTCAGGTACTTCAACTAGCTAGGGGAAGAGCTTGAGATTACTGCATGACACACACCACAACTTTTAGCATGAGGTGATTTACTTTGATATTTTGACAAATGCTTTGATACAGTGATTGATACAATGTTTTGAAATATTTCTACTTATGTTCTTATGAGATGATTTGGATTACTATGGTTTATTTATGATTTAAAAAGAAAATTTTGGACCATATTTTGAGGATGTTTCACTTGTATGAATAGCCAGAAGCAACATATGTCTGAGAAGACGAGGCGATGCACCGAGGATCCCTGGAGATGTGCTATGGTGTGGGGGCGGTTTATGGGTACAACTGGGTATGGAACAAGTGGTGAAGTCCAATTCATCAGGGCTGTGGATGAAGTTTGTTGTACCCATAATTGTAGCTAGAGAAATTGCGTCCGCAACCACGCCCTCGACCACCTCTGCTAGCGTTGCGTCCGCGGCCATAGTGATCAGAATAGCCATGGTTCCCTGTCCGATTTTGTTGATAAGAATCTACCCATTCACGACTTTGTGATGATTGTACTTGGACATGAACAGTGGTGGTGACCGGTGGTGGAGTGGCACTAGTGCTGTCGGCGGTAAGAGCAATGGCTGCCGAGTGCTGGTTGGCTTTTCTTGTTTCCTCCAAAATTAATTTGGATCGTGCAGTATAGACCTTAGGGAGTGGTGTAGATTGTTGTAGAAGAGTGGCAATATTTTCATAATTGTCATTTAAGCCAGCAATGAGTTACAAAACCAATCGATCATTAGTGACAGGAGCATCAACATTTACGTGTTGATCTGAGAGATTTTTGAGTGCGAGTTGATTTGAGAGATTTTTGAGTTCTTGACAGTATCTGACATATTTGGAAAAGAATCCAACTTGATGGTTGAGAGTTTTTGTTCCACGTAAAGAGCCTTGTGGGTTTGTTGTTGACGAAGATGGTTTCTAAGGCTTGCCATGCTTTTTCTGCAGTAGTATTTGGGGTGAGCATTGTGATTAGTAGATCATTGGAAATCGTACTATACATCCACCGTAGAACAACTGAATGTCCTATTTGTTGAAACACTTTTATCTTTCTCTGCAGGTTTTGGTGTAACAACTTTAGAAGGGATGATGTGGTCGATAACATCATAAGCTCGACAATGGATTTTAAATAATTCCACCCACGAGGTGTAGTGTCCGTTTTCCATCTCCAAGACAATGGGGATGAAGTTCTTGATGTTGGTCACTGTGAGTGCAGGATGAAGAGATGCCATGGAGGTGTGAACTTGATATTGTGACGATTAAAGAAGTAGAGGAGTGAAGAGGGTTGCCGATCGATTGAAAGAAGAAGGATAGTAGAGGATGTCGGTTGCTAGGGTTGTGAGGGTCGAGATTACGCTCTACGCTCTGATACCATAACAGAATTGGCCAAAAGATTGACGGTGATCTCATTAATAACAGATACAAATATTGACATAAGACTACCCTGACTAATAGACAATTTACATAACTGATACAATGGTTTCCTAGTCTAATATACAATAAATCTATTTCTATAACCATAATGAGCAGATGCTATTTCACCAATAGGTAATTGTAGATCACAAGAATTTAATACAGCACAGAAAACAAATTTACTTCAATTTTTATTGTCCGGATGGAGTAATCCAAAACTATGTTCAGGACTTAAAGCTGCATTTATATTGTATGGTTTATGAACTTTGAAAGAAATGAAAATTCATTCTATCGACCTGTCAATGACGAGGTGATATTAACAACAGAATGTTGTTGTGTGGTGGGTGCAAGCAGGTGGAGATCAGGCTCGGTGAAAAAGGCAGGTGGTTTGGGTTGAGGCAAGACACCATCATTACCAAGCATCAATACCACAGATGACATTGTCGGCCTATCTTCTGGCTGATTCTGCACACACAAAAGACCAATGTGTATTGACCGCAGCACCTCCAAGATGATGCATGACTCCCTTAACGATCGACCAACCAGATCAAGACTCTTGTCATCTTTGTACAGCCTCCATGCCTGAGTGATAGCAGGTGTATGTAGTAAATCACAAGTATATACAATCGAAAATCACACATAATAGTCAATAAAATAGCAGGAAACCAAAAACATCAGATTTATTAAACTTACATGTCCAAGAAGGTTGTCGCCGTGTTCTTGAGAAGAGAATTCTCGGTTTTTCATCCCACTTACTATTTCCAGCACCAAAACACCGAAGCTAAATACATCTGATTTTGTTGAGAAAATCCCGTGAACTGCATACTCTGGAGGGATGTAACCACTGAATATAGAATTTGACAGATCAGTTGATATGGGGATATATCTGAGAAGTTAACTTTAATTGGTTTCTGATTCTTACTAAGTTCCAACCACATTCTTTGTGTTAGATCCAGTTTCGTATCCTTTAAATCTTCTAGCCAGCCCAAAATCTGATATCTTTGGGTTCATGTCATTGTCCAACAAAATATTACCAGCTTTAAGATCCCTATGTATGATACGAAGGCGCGAATCTTGATGCAGATAAAGAAGCCCTCGTGCAATTCCATTGATGATGCGGAATCGGTGATTCCAATCAAGCATTGAACTTCTAGTCTCATCTGCATGAAATTAACACGTGTCTAGTAGACATCCGAATAAAGATTTGAACGGAGTATATCATAAGAAGAGTTCTTACGAAATAAAATTTGATCTAGGCTTCTGTTGGGCATGTATTCATAAATCAACATAAATTCATTTTTTTGAGCACAGAATCCCAGAAGTTTTACAAGATTTCGATGCTGAAGTCTTTGGATACATCTAACTTCATTTGTAAACTCAACAAGTCCTTGTGTAGAAGTTTCAGATAGCCGCTTTACAGCTATTTCTCGCCCATCTTCCCTTACACCCTAAAGATTAGAGAGATAGTCATCACATCAGCATCGTGCACTCCTGCTTATAGAACATAAATAACACAACTATCTATTGATATGTTATAACCTTGTAAACTGGACCAAATCCACCTTGTCCAAGCTTATTATCAATCGAGAAGTTATTGGTTAACTTAGATACTTCAGAAAAGCTGAAAAAGGGCAAGTCTACATCATTGTTTTGGCCTCCCCCTGTATAGTCTTCACAAAGGGTCTTCACCAGAGTACCTAAAATGTGATACATCCAAGTATTAAAAGGTGGACACTTACACATTCATGTTGTGCTTGCTCTTTTTCACAAGTATAAAATAGGACTCAGTTGCATTACCTTGACTTTGTGCATGAGACCAATTTTTCTTCCAAACATACCCCACCACAGCTAGGCATATCAGAATAAAACCAAATGAAGTTGAAAGGGACACTTCGATTACTTTTTTCTTGTTAAAGCCAGATTTTATGCCTGGAACACCGTAAATGCAAAAAGTATACAACACATAAAGAAAGGTGTGACTAAAAGTGACAATATAGTATATTTCTGTGAATGAGAAATAAAAAAATTTATGCACCTGTTAACTCAGATGCGTCCATTCTTATGTAAAGATCTTGATCTTCATCAGCTTCTCTGATATCCATCAGATCATTAAACCATAGCAAACATCCACTTCCACCTCTTCTAATATCCACATTTGCATAAGCTGTACAAGAGCAATTCCTCTTGCATTCCCTTTTACATTCTCCAAGGTTCATGCTCAGATTATACCATGATTTCCTGGTATCCGGAAATTTCAAACCTGAAATCGCCCGAAAACCATCTTCATTCCCACATTTTAACGGTTTTTTACGTTGACAACCACCTGACCAATCTCCTGCATTCCATTCTTTTGGGTGTTTTGGTTCAAACCCTTCCATACAACTACAAACAGGTGAACTGTTTATGTTACAGCTTCCATATGAACCACAGAGTCCATATGGTGCACATATGTCAACCGTTGCAGCCAAATATGGGACCCATCCTTGGGTCGGATCATTCCAGTTTAACCGCATTTCATGGCCTTCAGGACCAATAACAACCCTTGAAAGAAATGAGGTATTAATAAGATAAAATATAGAATACACTTCCTTCTCATTCATTACAAAGTCATATGTGTAGATAGGATTTGGCTTGCTAGGAAAACCATTTACCCTAACACCATTCCATGGTCCAAATCTTAATGTTATAACTGAACCACGTCTCTGAAATGCTTGTGGATATCCATTTGTATCCCAGTAACTTACATACAGACCTGGAGAAGGATCATCTAGACTCTTCCAAGATGTCAAGCATCTATTTACTCCTGTAATAAAATCCTTCCCGAATTTCATTCCAGATAGCAAGGTGTCAGTAGGGTAATCAAAACTTTGCCAGATAGGATCTTGGTCTGTGCTACTCATGTTATCATGCACAACAAGGTTTCCTGAATCTAGAAGCTTTGCGACAATATTTTTATTACTGAAAGATAATGAAGAATTTGATGACCAAATCATTGTATTGTTACCATTGAGAAGCAGAAGTGTTCCCATGCTATTGACTTTGAACACACCGGAGGTATCAGTAAGTGGAGTCTCTCTGTTAGCAACCCATACAACTGTCTGAGGAAGAATCTTTTTATACCATATCCCCAAGTATCGATACCTGGAGTTACCCGGGGTAAAAAAGCCGAATTCATACATTTCACCATCTGAAACAAGCGTATCATTGTCTCTTATTTCTTTATCTGTAGTTATGGTGTCTACTGCAGCAGAAACTGTCAAAAGTAAGAATAAAACACTGGACAAGAACAGAATATTTTGGAAAGTTCTCATTGATGTGTTTTGCAGCCTTCTGTTAATTTCCTGGAAGATTTTGGGGTAAGAAATAATAAGACCAGGATCAATTATTTGAATAGAATTGGCTCTTTGGATAATATCTAATAGAGGTTGTGGAAAAGGCTCATTAATGTGTTTTGCAGCCTCCTACTTCATGGAAGAGTAGTTTGCCGTGTAGGAAATTATAAGCTCTCAATTATTTGATTAGAACTGTCTCTTTTTCAGTTGAAGGTAGTCAGGAACATAGACCCACTAAAAAATTAAATATTCTCCTGCCTTAAAAACCATTTCTTTAAGCATGGCAATAAATACTAGAAGGCTTGTGTCTTCTTCTTTGAGATAGTTGCCCCGCATGTGGGAATCCATAATAGAGGTCTCAGGTTCAAACCTTGGCATCAGCTTCCTTGCTCTCATGACATTGTGATATTTGTGCATTCCCGATGTATATGGATTAGCAGTATCAACTGCAAATCATTTAATGTAATCATCAAATATTCAAATTCATATATGCCATTGAAGTATTAATTATTTGTTATACCATCACTTTCCCCAAATTTGCAAATTAATTATCTAGGTTATGACTTACGAGGAACAGAAAATAGCACAAAATTTAACTCAGTTCGAAACAAAACTAAGTTTCTTGAAATTCTTATATTCGTAGTAATAATTATGTCAAAAACCTAATTCAACACCCCAGTTCAAAATTGAGACATTGAAAGTTGAAACAACAACGAAGAATTAAAAAACTCGAAGAAGGAAGAACTCACCGCAACAGAAGATATAGCGGTGGTGGTGCTGACGAGGAATTAAGTGGCGACAGCGACCGTAGAGTTGAATTTTGTTTCTATTGGAGTACAACTGAATTCAACTAACTCGTCCGTAAATATCAGCAAACGCCGTTAATTTGTGGTTGAAGAAGTGGAAGAAAATTATTAACGTCGTTGGCGGAGTTCATACACAAGTTGACAACTTGAGTGGTCTACCAAGTGATCGTTTGTCAACCAAAAATAAATGATTTCTTTATAAAGTATCTTTTAAAAAATATATATTATATTATAAATTTATCCATCATAATCATTCATCCAAATCAATCTAAAATCCTGTTTCGGATCGTCTGTGATTAGGGTTCGTGGGCTGCAACCCGGGCATGAGGAAATCTCGGGGTTGCAACGAGTTGCTAGAAAAGTAGGGCATCTCGTCACCTTTCCGTGGATATGAGGTTTATTGGAAACAAAGTTATATCAAGGAAGCAATGGAAGTTTGAAGTTTTGACAGGATAAATCCCTTGTGTGTACGCCTAGCGTACTCATGTGCGTGATTTTTAAGCGGAGCCACCTAGTATGCTGGGCGTACTTGGCACTGCATGAAAAACCCTAGTTGAGGGGTGCCCCTATATAAAGAATGAGATGGCCTCATTCCTGGCCACCATCCTCGGATTGCAAACCCTCTTAAACCCTAAACCTTCATTTATGGAGTTTGTGAGTGCATTTGAGAGCCTTTGAGTGTTTTTGTGTGTTCTTGGAGTGAAGAAGAAGCTTTGGAGAAGGAGTGAGAGTCCAGGCCCTTGGATCTGAGCATATCTATGTTGGGAGTTTCATATAGAGGCATAAAGCTTCAAGCTTTCTCACTCTTTTGTTTTATGCATCTTAGTAGAGTATTTTAGGGTTTTATCCCAAAAAGTTGGAGACTTTATGTAATATTGAGCTCCAGAGACTTTGATTGACCCCTTTGAGTGTATTTAGTGGTGTAATGTCATAAAAATCTAGACTTGGATGTTAGAATCAAGCCATGCATGAGATATAAGCTTTTTGTGATAAAAGAGTGAGAGTGTTGTGTGTTTGTGACCTTATCATCCATGTTTAGGCTTAAAGTCACTGACTTTATGGAGTAAGAGCTATTAGGGAGTCTAGATCAGTGATATGACCCAAGGTCTTAACGGATTAAGACCAAATAAGTAGAAAGAGTGAGTTTGGGAAGTACGTTGAGCATAATTCCAATACGCCCCGCATATTGACCAAGTGTCCCCGATGGCCAATCTAGATTTGTGAGTACGATGAGCGTACCCAAGGAGGTACGCCCCGCATAATCTCACTGTGGACCTTTTGGGCTAAGTCTCATTTTGGGCCTAGAAGGCTTGTTACAACTGCGTTTTGGACCAAAGGAATATATATATATATATATATATATATATGTGTGTGTGTGTGTGTGTGTGTGTGTGTGTGTGTGTGCTTTGGGCCTTGAGTTGGGCTTGCCATTTAGATTTGAGAGTTGGGCCTCAAAAGAGCCCATTTATTATTGGGCCTTGGTGGGCCCAATGGGTTTTAGGTTATTGATGAGCTGGTTAGTGGACTACATTTAGACCTAATGAGTGAGAGTTTGGACTTAGTTCCTAATTGGGTTAATTGTGGGTTTAGCTTAGAGATAGAGGTCGGTGCGCAGCAGCAACATTTATAGGGGTTGTTTATCATTCGAGGTGAATCTTCTTACTATACTTACCATGAGTGGTATCTTTGTGTGACTGCGATGTCTTATGTGCTTACTTATGTATTGTGATATCCTGCATTATGTCTTTGTGATTTATGCTGAGTATTATTATTATGAGCTTATTGAGTTAGGACCGGAGGGTCTACCCGAGTTTTGGGACTGTAGGGTCCTATTGAGACACATTGACATCTGAGTATAGCCATGAGAGGCTATTTATATATGTGTGGTATTTTGGGGAACTCACTAAGCTTCGTGCTTACCATGTTATGTGATATGTGTTTCAGGTTTTTTCAAGATCGCGAGATGGCACCAACTTGATGTAGGGTTTTGAGCATTCTAACACTCCTAAGGTGTTCATGCAACCCTAGAAACCTTGGATCTATGGTTGACTAAGATACATGCAAAATCGATTTCCAAGGTTCATAATCCTATCTAGCATACATGGGGAACTTTTCAATATAAAAGTTAGCTAGAAAACATACCTTGTAGTAGTTTGGATTCCTTGAAAACCTTGAGAGCCTAGCACCCCAATTGTGATGCCTCAAATGTCTCGCACAACACCAAATGCACTTGGAATAAACTTTGAGAGAAATGTCACACTACTTGAAATCGGCTAGCCCTCTTCTTTCTTGCTTAAGTTGACGATTTTGGTGAACATGATGATCTTTATATAGTGTGTTACAATTAGGGTTACACCATGTAAACCCTAATTATCATGACCTTTCATTTCCATGACCCATGGTTTCTATAACCACCATGGAGAATCCTATGGGTTTTAGCCCAACTTGATAATCCATGGATCATTAGTTCACTATACAAGTATGGATGATTTCCACAATCAACCCATATATTTAATTAGTCACCATTTGATCACTTAACTAATTCTAAATTAATTCTTGATCAATACTAATTAAAAATATTATTAATATATTAGAACTTATAATATATTAATAAACCATAAGTGTTATTTCTCTCATTTTAGTCTATCCAAATGCATGATGCCACGCAACCCAAATGGACCATACCAAACCGGGTCAAGTACATACCAGAAATAGTTATGGACTTAGACACCTTATCCAACACTTGATTGTACACACCAGAGAAAAAGTTATGTTTTGAGGATCTTGGATCATTAATCAAAAAATTATGGAGTTGTGTTTTGTAACTTAAATCAATGAGATTTTTGTGTTATGAGAATTATGTGATTTTAAAATGAAAATTTTGTTTGAAAATTTACGGTGTTACAAGTTGGTATCAAAGCCTTGGTTTGAGGGATTCGGATGCACCTTCGGGTATGTATGGACTCAAACTGGGGATTTGAGAAAAAATTTCAAAAGAAATGAATTTTCTAAAGCGAGCAAGAGTTTCTAAGAGAAAACGAGAAGGAGCAGTGTGTATAATCAGCCAAAGCTTGAACGGTAATTTCCCAAAATACCCTTACTTATTTGTGTATGAGTTATTATTAAGATATTAGTGATGCATGCTAGAAGATAGGCTAGGTATTTCATATATTAGGGCTAGAGTTTCTTGATTTGTGATGCCTTAGCCTAGGAATTGTTGTTATTGATGGGTTTTAGCCATAAGAACTTTCCTATGTGCGCATGCAAAACCCTAATGCTTGGATCTAGGCTTTCTAATCAAACATGCTTTGAATCCAAGACTTCTAATGACTATTTAGGTGTAATAACAATATTGAAACATATCTAGAACCTTTGAATTCCCTGTTGATCTTGTTGTCTTGGAGCTTCTAGAGTCACAATTGTCACTCCTCTAATGGCTTACAAACACCAAATAGAAAGGATGATGATTTGGGAGAGAGGAGAGGGGAGGAATTCGGCCAGAGTCTCTCTACTTTAGATGGGATGTCGAATTCCCTCAGCCATAGGGTCTATTTATACTTGTAGACTCCTTAAGGGTTACAACTTAAACCCTAACTGGATAACTTAGACTTTAAGTTAATCCATATCCTTTCCTTGATAACCCTATGGACGATTTTGGCTTATCCTAGCCTTAGAAATCGTCCAATCCTTTATCAATAAGGATTTACAGTCTAAAGTTTAACTATCAAGCAATTGACAGTTTATACCCTCTTATTTAATTAATCTCTTTAAGTCACCAAATTAATTCCAATTAATTCTACGACTTATATTAATATATTATTCTTTATATTATTCTCATAATATACTAATAATATTTACTCTCTCTTAATAAATCATCCTATCAAGTTGCTATGGTGAAGGCAACCCAAAAGGACCATGCACAATCGGGTCAAATACTTGCCTAATATAGTTGCAGCCTTAGACACTATTCCAATAGTCTCCCACTTGGATAAGTCTAGTAACTATATGTGCAGGTACACTCTGATTTGCAATCGTAGCTCTCAAAGACGCTGTCAAACTCTAATCTAATCAATCTTGTCCTTTAGATAAGGGGTCGTACAGTCCTCTGTTAGATATCATGCTGACAATACTATGGAATAGTTAGTCTAGCATTTGGTTTCTCGATCTCCGATTTATTTGACATAGAACTTAATCGAACACATCAATTCAGTTCTGACCGGGCCCGACACATGAGTCAAATCAAATCATCGAGCAGCCGCGATATCACTTTTCCCTTCTTAGGATAAAAGTTACAGATAAACTTCGACTTATATGCATTTACTTATTCATTAATCAACTACACACAACAATGCGTTTTATAACATCGAGTTACCAATGCATTTTCGCATTATCAATGTACAATCAATTAACCAATAACAAACCATATATCTAGGTTTTAAGACTATATGATATTATCGTCTTGCGATCACCCATTTACTATCACATTCCATAAGGTGATTCCAGCAAGTGCGGGTTTGTTCCAATGCTCAAACCTAGTTCATAAGCACTCATGAACGTTGCAGCAATCTTTTGCTATGTCTAACACCATTTAGACACTCTACACACCTATTCATGACAATCTTCATTCATATCTACTTCCGACATATGAACGATTGTGGATTATTTGAACAATTCGATTATTCTTAATAAACTCAATTATTCTAGAAGTCAAAACATGCAAAGTGAAACAATAGTTAAACAATTAACATAAGACAGTAACATTACTTATAAATAAAACTTCTTTATTTAATCATCAAATGTTAATTACATTTATCTATTACACGTTTCTAATACTATCTAATCTATGCTAATATCATCTTTCAGCCCAATACTCCTAGCATGCTGCAAATGCTTAACCCTACTCAGTCCCTTCGTAAGCGGATCTGCTGGGTTATCTTCCGATGATATTCTCTTCACTACGAGTTGTCCTTCTTCTACACAATGTCTAATGAAGTGATATTTTCTGTCGATATGTCATGATCTACCATGATCTCTCGGTTCCTTGGTCAAGGCAACCGCTCCCTCATTATCACAGAAAATCTCCATGGGCTCATTTATGGCAGGTACTGTTGGGTTTTAGCCATAAGAACATTCCTATGTGCGCATGCAAAACCCTATTCCTTGGATCTAGGCTTTCTAATAAACATGCTTTTGAATCCAAGACTTCTAATGGCTAATTAGGTTAAACAACAATATTAAAACAGATCTAGAATCATACCTTTGAATCCCTTGTTGATCTTGTTTGTCTTGGAGCTTCTAGAGTCACAATTGTCACTCCTCTAATGGCTTACAAACACCAATAGCAAGCAAGATGATTTAGGAGAGAGGAGAGGGGATGGATTCGGCCAGAGTATCCTTGCTTAAGGTTGTGTTGTCGAATTCCCACATCCATAGGGTCTATTTATACTATCAGACTCCTTAAGGGTTTCACCCTAAACCCTAATTGGATAATCTTCTCTTAAGGCTATCCAAATCCATTCCATAGATAACCCTATGGACGATTTTGAGCTATCCTAAAGCTCTTAGAATCCGTCCAAGGTGTATCCTAATGGATTTATAGTCTAAAGTCTAACTATCAAACAATTGACAGTTTATACCCTCTTATTTAATTAATCTCTTTAAGTCACCAAATTAATACCAATTAATTTATGACTTATATTAATCAAATAGCTAAATATTATTCCTTATAATATTTACTCTCTCTTAACAAATCATCCTTCAAGTTGCTATGGTGAAGGCAACCCAAAAGGACCATGCACCACCGAATATAGTTATAGCCTTAGACACTATTCCAACAGTCTCCCACTTGGATAAGTCTAGTAACTATACAAGTACAATACGGTTTGCAATCGTAGCTCTCAAAGACGCTGTCAACTCTGATCTAATCAATCTTGTCCTTTAGATAAGGGATCGTACAGTCCTCTGTTAGATATCATGCTGACAATCCTATGGAATGGTTAGTCTAGCATTTAGATTTCTCGATCTCCGATTTATTTGACATAGAACTTAATCGAACACATCAATTCAGTTCTGACCGGGCCCGGCACATAAGTCAAATCAAATCATCGAGTGGCCAAGATATCTCTTCTATCCTCTTAGGATAAAATTTACAGATAAACTTCGACTTATATGCATTTACTTATTCATTAACCAACTATACACAACAATGCGTTTTATAACATCAAGTTACTGATGCGTTTTCGCATTATCAATGCACAATCAATTAACAAATAATAAACCATATATCTAGGTTTTAAGACCATATGATATTATCGTCTTGCGATCACCTTTTATATCGCATTCCATAAGTGATTCCAGCAAGCGCGGGTTTATTCCAATGCTCAAAACCAGTTCATAAGCACTCATGAACGTTGCAGCAACCCTTGCTATGTCTAACACCATTTAGACATTCTACACACCAATTCATGACAATCTTCATTCATATCTACTCCCAACATATGAACGATTGTGGACCATTTGAATAATTCGATTATTCCTAATAAACTCAATTATTCTGGAAGTCAAAACATGCAAAGTGAAACAATAGTTAAACAACTAACATGTGATAGTAACTTTACTCATAAATGTTAATTACATTTATCTATTATATGTTTCTAATACTATCTAATCTATGCT